AGGAAAGGAAAGGAAAGGAAAGGAAAGGAAAGGAAAGGAAAGGAAAGGAAAGGAAAGCTTTTATATGTACTCACGAGGCGCGCAGCCAAAAACATCAAATCCAAACTATCAAATGCAAAGAAATCATGACCTAAGGAAAATGTTGAAGCCATTTATTCGGGGATATGTTACTTATTTGCTTTAATTGGGTCCCGCATGCAAATAAACTTACTTATTGCGGTAAGTTCTATACATACCAGTTTCCAGTTCCAAATAACCGCTGTGCTYCTAGATTACAGACTCATTTACCTCAGGATTAGCTAGCCTCTTTCAGTGTCCAAATGTTCGCAATTACCGACGTTACAGTAATGAATGCATAACTTCAACAATATAAAAGAAGATGTCAGCAAAAGTCAAACAAAGTCGAAATTTTCCCGCAACGGCCAAAAAAAGTAGACCTATAGCCAAAACAAATCGGGGCATACTTTGTTTTTCGAAATATTGCTTTATTTCCAAGAAAAATGAAACAACAACAACAACAACAAAATATCAATAAATGACACTCTGAGAGGGCCAAAATATCCTCCAACTTGGAGGGCCTCGCGTGCCTTTGCAGATATGTATATGGGATCCATTGTTAGGAAACTGTTTTTAACATTGTCTTGGCTTTAGGTCTATAAAACTTTATCTTCTCCTTTATTGCCAATAAATTTGTTTGCTTAAAAATCTTTATTTTTGCTTCCAATTTTAGTTTTTCGCGGTTCATCATCTTCGTACGCACTTTTGTTTTGATTTCACAACCCCTGACAACCTGTATCGCACTTACAAATTACCACAGGAAGACCACTGCTTTATAAAGTGTATTTAAATACTGTACAGCCTTTTGTCAAGCAGGATTTGAACAACTGGAGTGAAAAAATAACATTTTTTGTTCTTATTGGGCCTGTTAATTGGCGTATTCGTATTGAATTCGTGTAGAAGTTGAAAAGAAGAACAAAAGTTGCTTGRAAGTGAAAAAGTTGCTCGAAGATGAAAAAGTTGCTCGAAATCAGAAAAGTTGCCCAAAAGTTGCGGAGCAACTTGTGGACAGCCCTAACTGTTGGCGGCGGTTATTCGATTTTTGCTGACACCTTCTCATAAACGCTTTAGAATTCCATGGRCCTTCATTGGAATAATATGAATATTCTCTACAAAATCAAGGCTAACCCTGAGCAACAGAGATCTCGAAATAGGAGTATTATTGGATGCAGTYTATTGAGGTTTTGATGATTTCCGGAATTATCAATGTCGAGGTAAGTGTTATTGGCGGAAGCCGTGCATTTTCCGAGACATTGATAATTYCCAATATTATCAAAAACGAATTCAATAAATGTTTTATAATACATTGTTCGAATATTAGATTGACGGATATACRAATATTGTAACTTTATAATAATTTTTGCTACCAGAAGTTTCAAAATAATACTTTWAAAAAAAAAGTACAGAGAACCGCCATCCGCTGACCTTTGCAGGCTCGTTTTTGCAGATAACTGTCTACAGATGACTATCGACCGCTGAAGCATTGCTAGCGCATGCTGATAGCTAGAATAATTTGAGACTATTTTGACATGTGACATGTTTTCACTTAACACTCAGCTGCTCAGTAGTTTGCATATGATTATCACCCAGTCAGGTCCAAAAAAACCACGTGATTCATAATTTAATCTTAAAAAATATGACTTCTTTATAGCGCCCTTTCTATGTAGATATATATAATCAAAACCACTTTACATTGAGTATAATAACATGAGATGATTAGTATGAGGTGTAGGCACTGAGGGTGGTCACTGCCAGGGTTTCTTTACGTCCTCAGTGGTTCTTTAACGTCCCTCTGATATTAGTTAGAATGACGAAGTTTGGAGAGACGGGACCGCCATTTTACGTGGTCATAAGAGCCACTCGAAARTCTAACCATTTGTAGACCGCAATTGTACGTGGTCATCAGAGCCACTCGAACGTCTAACCATTTGTAGATGTAATTACAAAGGAAGCACTTTCTCCTCACTTATTTCAACACCCTTCATGTTATTCCGGACGGGACTCGAACCACGACTTCCCACGGGAAACTCCGATGCTCAATCAACTGAAAGTGAGCCAGCCGGTTGGCGGTCGAATAGTAAGCAATTTTGAAGCTTTTTGATGTACTTTTCACTTTTGTTCAAAATCAAAGGGCAGTTAATGTTGGCTAAATTACGTACCCAAAAAATAAAAATGATCGTTTGTAGTGTCTGTAGTGGTATTGAAATTATATTTTTAAGAAACTTCTAAAATTGTCAGTTTTTTTCAACTGAATACTTTACATATTTACTAACAAGGCCTTCAATGTTTATATTTTCAGGACTGACCACTTGGTTTTGTGTGGCGCCTCGTATTACCATCGCAGTTTGCATACCTATTTGCTTCATTCCACTTGGTATATACATCCTCCTCGACAAAGAACCATTGAAAGATCACTTACAAGGGACAGCCAAACTTGTGCAGTACACAAAACTACCACAAGAAGAATACTCCAATGACAAACACGACACGACTGCTGATAAACTTATAAGCAAGACATTTCTACTCCTCGTGAAATCCTTTCCTCTCTTTATTTACGGATATTTTTCGAGTTTCTGCATTCATTTTTCCATGACAGCAGTTTTGACAACTCTTACTTTCCCCTCCTCGCCATTTCTCCCCCGAGATCACTTCCAGTACTACAGAATGATCAGTGATGCGGGGATTGTGATTGGAGGACTGGGAAGTTTTATCTTGGGCTGCACAGGTCAGAAATGGATGAACAAATTCTTCGGGATTCGTAATACTGGACTTTTAGTTGTCATCAATGTCATTCATATGTTATTTTTCGTCGTGGCCTCGTGGCATCGGTTCCTCCCTAATGTCATCCCCGTGTTCGTGCTATGCTTCACCCAAGGTATTGCATTTGGAATAGCTGCTGTTCAATCCCTGATTTGTGCAACCAATCTGTTTTCAAGCCCAAATGATAAAGCTACTGCTTTAAGACTGCAAGAGGTTGGTGTTTCTGTTGGCCGAGTTGGCGCAGCATTTTTAGGCGTTTTCACTGAAAAATATCTACGAGAGCACTGCACATATAACTTGTTACTAGGTGAGTATTGCCTGGCAAGGATTCCATCTTCAGCTGGATGGAGTACTAACCTAATCTGTAACAAATAGAACAAGGCTTGCATTGAATTAAAGGGGGCGCACGCAGGAATAGATGCTAGTGTAAACAACAACAACAACAAATTATACAAKTTGATAGGATAATTAGAAGACCCTAGCAGACTATTTTATGGTCCGACACTTTCTTTTACATGAATCAAAGTTCAAGAGCTTCAAAACTGCAACAAGCATAATATTAGCCTCATTATCTTGTTTACACAGACCACMCGTCGTCCTTAGCTACTAGGGACCTTAAGCTGCAGGACGGCAACGTGGGCGACAACGTCGGCGAAATTGAAGCGCTTCAACCTTCTATTGTATTATTATTTCGTGTTTACCAAGTAYTTTACTCAATAAGCATCCCCGTTTTAGAGTGAAATGTCATCTTTTGGGAGCGCTTTACTTATAACGAAAATCAGCAAAGAAAAGCATTTGGCGTAGCCGTTCTCTCCAGTACGTAAAAATAGGACATTTCACGTCTTACTTTCAGCATAAGACGGCAATGATGCATAGTATTTCGTACATTCCAACGAGTATCTATTGAATAGGGCAATTAGCGCTATTGTATGTTTGCCGTCGTCGTCGTCGTTGCCGTCCTGCAGCTWAAGGTCCCTACTATAATTAATAAACACTCAGGGTCTTAAAAAAACTGAGGAGAAGGTGCTGCCTTTGTAATTATATCTGCAAATGGTTAGACCTTCAAGTCTTCTCGGACAAGGACTTTAAACCGTAGGCCCTGTCTCCTAACCCTTCCTAACCTACAGTAAATGGAGGACATAAAAGAACCACTGAGGACGTAAAAAGAAACCCTGGCAGTGACCACCCTCAGTTCCTCCACTTCACACTTACCATCTCTAATGCTCGTAAATTGCACAAAAAGCAATCCGTCATTCACAACTTCATGTAAAGCGCCTTTGATTATATCCACATAGAAAAGGGCGCTATATAAATCATAATCATCATAATCATAATTTAACCTTTTTCAAGCTGACAACGTTTTTTTTACATTTGGGGCATCTCAATTTATTTAACAACTATTTAATAACTATTGGATTAAAACTATATAATATACCAATAAACCGTGTTATCACTTTATCAAACTAAATACTTTCCATTATACCATGTCACTCTCTCCTTTTATATATGTCCAATACACACAAAATGAGACGGATCGCCACGAAGAATCGACGATAGTAGTTAACAACCAAGATTACTGGTATTGATCAGCAAGTGATTCGCTTGTCTCTCAGGAGCTTTTGAAACCCTCGTGGCAATAAAAAATGTCACACATTCCTCGCATCGTATTTCAAATTCCAGCGAGAATATCTGGAATTCAGTGTATTCGTACTTTGACCCCCACATCACACATTCCATTCCTTTCATCCCCTAAAGTATTTTCTCATTCCCAAGACCACCCCTCCCCTTGCTACTATGCTATACGAGGTAGGGGGGGTTAATTACTGACGATCCGTCTAACCTGATGTCATTTTGTGAAATACAACACGAAGTCCATTTCAGCGATTCACAACTAGAGTTGGTCTAGCATTGGGCTTCCTGTGGTATTGACGAACCGTCTAACCGGAGGTCATTTCGTTAATATGCAAATCAACAGGGATGCACGTTATCGTTTACATTGGGTTTCCTGTGGTCAGTGAGGCCCCCTTTGATATCATGACTGATCGTGACGGATTGTGACGTGTTTTCACAAATAGTCATGACCGTTGACGATCTGTCTCACCGGATGTCATTTCGTCAATATGCAGCTCACGATATCCTCATACTCTCCTTCTATTAAGTCTCGTTCTATAAATCAAATACACAATATACATATGGTTCGTTATTATGACATGCCTCGTTCTATATGAAGTCAAATACAGACTGATCGATCGTTATTATGACATGCCTCGTTCTATATAAAGTCAAATACAGACTGATCGTTCGTTATTATGACATGCGGCGTTCTTTAAGGCTTTTATACAACTATAGAGCAATTTTACGTGACGTCACAGCGCCCATTATGGAGTACCAAAACAATACATTTTCTATCCTCCGGGAATTGAACTCTATTWTTMTGCAAATACTGTGCAGAAAGTTTCTATTGTTTATGGCTGCCTTCTCTCGTGAGTGAAAACGCTCTATAGGTATATGCAATATTGTACAAACCATTAGCTTACATATATTTGTGAATACTTTGTGGCAGGCTCGTGTAGACATGTATTGTTTTAAATGTCTTGTAAATGGTCTTGTAAGTACTAAATAAAATTGAAGATGCCAATTCAATTTCAAATTTTCATTCTTTCTGGTGCTTAATAATGATTTAATAATAATAATAATTTAATAACTTTTGTAAAATATTTTACTCCAATTTCATTTCAATTATATTTTTCCATCACTTCGTGCATTTCATCTCAACAGGGCCTGGTTAGCTCAGTCGGTAGAGMATCAGACTTTTAATCTGAGGGTCAAGGGTTCGAGTCCCTTATCGGGCGTTTCCCTTTTTACTTCTGTAATGTATTTTACTCCAATTTCATTTCAATTCTATTTTTCCATCCCTTCAAGTGTTTCACCTCGACAGGSCCTGGTTAGCTCAGTTGGTAGAGCATTAGACTTTTAATCTAAGAGTCAAGGGTTCGACTCTTTTTACCCTTTTTATTTTTGTAAAATATTTTACTCCAATTTCATTTCAATTCTATTTTTCCATCCCTTCGTGTATTTCATCTCAACATGGCCTGGTTAGCTCAGTCGGTAGAGAATCAGACTTTTAATCTGAGGGTCAAGGGTTCGAGTCCCTTATCGGGCGTTTCATTTTTTACTTTTGTAAAATATTTTACTCCAATTTCATTTCAATTCTATTTTTCCATCCCTTCGTGTATTTCATCTCAACAGGGCCTGGTTAGCTCAGTCGGTAGATCAGACTATTTTTCCATCCCTTCGTGTATTTCATCTCAACATTCTTGACAACAATTCTTTCACATCTAGTCGCCACGTAACACATAATGCACATGCTCAACGCTCCTGAATATGCATAACATCACATCCCCCTTTATCTTATAATAATATACAATAATATTTTACAACCACCACTCCCTATACGGGGCTTTTCCGTGAGGTTCCATCCACACGCACTACCACTACATTCTATATTTACAACATACAACACTCAACTCACATGTTGATTTTTRCGGAGGGAGGAAGCCGGAGAACCAGGAGAAAAACCTCGTAGCATAGGRGAGACATGTTGCGACCGCAGGGCTCGAACCAGCGACCCGACCCGTTGGACTCACAGCGGTGAAAGACGACGCGTTAGCCGCGAACGCCACCCATGCTACCATGCTAATAATGAACAGTAACAGTAACTTAAAATGTTCTACGTATATTGTTCCTTAATGTTCTTGCATCCTTGGTTCAACATTCTTCGAATCCGTAACGAACTGGTGGTCGTAGAGTTCGCCCACTTCTTGTGGTGCTGTGACCCTCTTTAGGAGTTGAGACGTTCTCGTTTGGTGAATCCTGCTGGGAATAGGTATCCTCGAGCTTGGTCGGAAGAGGTGCTTCTCTTATATGATGGCGATTGCGTCTCAGGTCTATTCCTTCAGGCGTTGTTATCGTGTATGATCGAGGAAGACTTGGAATGTTTTCCTTTACTACAGCAGGTGTCCACTTGAGGGTTGTAGGTTCCTGAATGTTGACATGACCGGCGTGGAGCTCTGGAAGCGGCCTGGAACCTCTGTCATAATAATGTTTYGGTTCTTGTTGTCTATGTTAAAGCTCTTCGAACACTTTGTCGCTCGTGTTATCTCTTTGGATCTTTCTTGGAAGGTTGTCTTGTATGGGTCGCCCAAGGAGAAGTTCAGCCGGTGAGGGCAATTTGTTGTCTATGGGTGTGGTTCTCAGACAAAGCAGTGCCATGTACGGGTCAGTATTGGCCTGTTGTGCTTTCTTGAGGATGGTCTATACTGTCTTCACTTGTGATTCTATGAATCCGTTGCTTTGCGGAAAATTAGGGAAACTTGTGACGTGTCGAAATCCGTATTCCTCTGCGAAATCTCTGAAGGATTGACCATCGTACTGGGGCCCATTATCAGATCTCACGACTTGGGGAACACCTTGCTCGCTGAATATCTGTTTCAGGAGTAAGACTACAGTCCTACTGGTGCTTTGTCCCTTTGGTATCTTCATGACAAAATTGTACTTTGAGTAGKAGTCAGCTATCAGGAGGTAGTCTGACCCGTAGAGTTGGAATAAATATGTTCCAACTGTATGCCATGCTCTAGGCGGAGATTCGGTTGGGTTTAATGGTTCCTTGCGTTGGTTGTCCTGTAACTCCTGGCATGTTACCTGCTCAATGTCCTTGTTCATACCCCTCCAGTAGACGAATGCTCTTGCGCGGTGTCTGGTCTTTTCTGTACCTTGATGGGTCTCATGGAGTTTTCTCAGAATGTCGGCTTGCATTTCTGCGGTGACCTTTCAGCAGGACTCCTTCTTCGATGGCTATTTTGTCTCTATATGTCCGATAGTCCCTTATTATCTGTGGCACTTGTTCTTTCTTTTGGGGCCATCCGACGTAGACCTGTTCCTTGAGTGCAATCAGTTTGGCATCAGAGGTGGTGTTCTTCGCAATTCTCTCTATGAAGGATTTGCTGAACTGCGGGATGATCTGGTGAATTTCTACATTAAGATCAGGGATTGGTCCTTTCTCTTCTGGAGAAAGTCTGGAAAATGCGTCAGCAAGCTCCATTTCTCTTCCCGGTTTGTATTGTATGGTTATGTTGTAGGACTGCAGCCTAAGTAGCATTTGTTGAAGTCTTGGAGGAGCGGCCATTAGGTGTTTTAGATGGATACTTTCCAATGGCTTATGGTCTGTCTGGACAGTTACGCTGCGATCATAGATGCATGTGTGAAATCGTTCACAACCAACGGCTAAAAACAACTGCTAAAAGTTGTCGTTCAATACTTACATATCTGGATTCTGTCTCCGTAAGAGCTTTGCTGGCAAAAGCAACAGGTTTGTTGTCTTGGAGGAGGACAGCCCCGATGCCTTTTAGCGACGCATCGACCTGTAAGGTTGTTTCTTTTGCAGTGTTGAAGTAGGTCTGGGTTGTCTCTTCACTGATGCTATCTTTTACGTTATCGAAAGACGCTTAGTGTGAAGAGCTCCACTTGAATTCGTTCTTTTCCTTGAGGAGTTCTCGCAGAGGCGCTGTGTGGCTGCTCAGGTTTGAGATGAATGGGCCCATGTAGTTAGCAAGACCTAAGAAGGTTTGTAACTCTTGTCTGTTTGATGGTGGTTTCATCTGCTTCATTGCTGAGACTTTGTCTGCATCTGGGCGGACTCCTTCTTGGACACAAATGATGCCGTAGAATTTTAATTCCTTTTGCTTGATCACGCATTTGTCGGGGTTTATTTTGAGTCCTGTTTCTTTGCATTGCTGGATCATTCCGTACATGTTGTTGTCATGGTCTTCTTCTGTTTTTCCGAAGACGACGATATCATCTGCAATTCCTACCACACCGGGACATCCTTCAAAGGTCTGATCGATTTTCGTATGAAACACATCCTGTGATATCTTCAAACAAAAGGGCATTCTATTGAACCTGTATCGTCCGAAGGGAGAATTAAAGGTAGTTAGATAGCTGGACTCCTTATCTAAGACAATATTCCAATATCCACATTTGGCATCAACAATGGAGAATGTCTTTGCTCCGCTCAGTTTGGGTAGTAGCTCCTCCAATGTTGGGGTAACATGGTGTTCTCGTAAGATAGCTCTGTTCAAGTCTTTTGGATCTAGGCATATTCGTACCAAACTATTCACCCATGCTGTTGGTTCTCCTTCCTTGATTTTTGTGATGATGTTGTTTTTTCTATTTCTTCTAGCTCTGCTTTGATGTCATCTCTCATAACTAGCAGTACCTTTCTTGGTGGATGGACTACTGGTGGTATAGTGGGGTCTAGTATGATCTTATATTCTCCTTCGAATTTTCCGATTCCATCTAAGCACTCTGGAAATTGCTGGACCAGGTCTTTCTTGTCTGCGATGGGCTTTTTGTCTGTGCCATGTTCTTGAACTTGTTTGCTGATTTCGTAGTTGAATTTGATGAGGTTGAGCTTCTGGCATGTTGGTAGGCCGATTATTGCATTTCCAGGGGCATCTGTAACGTAGAAGGTTGCTCTTGTTTCTTCGTTCTTGAACTTACATGGAATTTTCACAGTACAATAGTGATGAATTCTTGTTCCCCCGTATGCTGTTAAGATGGTGTTTGATTTTCCGAGGATTCCTCCTTTAGGCAATTGGTTGTGGTTATCATATCGATGTTCTCACGAAACATTTGACGATAAAGTCTAATTGGCAAGATGGTTCGTTGAGCCGCTTTTTCGACTTTGGCTTTGAGTTTCGTCTGAAGCTGCTTCTGTTGGGGTAGTTTCACGTCGACTGTCGCAAATATCGACTGCTTGGATGATGCATCATCAGTAATGTGATCTATGTCTAAGTTTTCTCAGACTTCAGACACCATGTTAGGAGTGATGAGGCAATATTGTTGGGTTCTATCTTGTGTTTATTCCTTGTAATTCTTAACAACAACTCACATATAGTCGCCACGTGTTAATGTATATAATGCGCATGCTCAACGCTCCTGAATATGCATATCATTACAAGGTTTTCGGTAAATCCGCTGGATATTAGTGCTTTTTCATTTTTTTTACTCCGACGAAGGACTAGCGTCCGAAATGTCAGTTTTTTCATCTTTTCACATTGTAAAATTTACCCTTTTATCCTCACTGTTTCATTACAAACACTGACACAGCTCACACTAGTTTGTTGCTAATTATCTCTTCTTTTCATGGGTAGGTTTGGATTTTTCAATACTTCTTTGTTGCATGAGATGTCAGAGTATCCTGCGGTTGATGGCTGCGGCTAGCTGTCTGATTATGTTAGGTGGGTGGTTGGATTTTTTGTTAAAGTAAAGAGGCTCGTTTGGTTTTCTGTAGGGGTAGTATGATCCGTTCTCCAGGGTGAATGTGACGTCAAGATATAGTTTACCATTTTCAGATTGGTCTCATCGCGTACAATTGCACTCAAAACTAGGTCATGACCGCCTTATAGTTGCGTTATGGTTTTACAAGTCCAGAATCGCCTTAGTACTTGAGCTTGTATAAACGTTTTCATAATTTTTCGACCGCCATTAAACATGCCATGACTATCCGCGCCAACAACAACTTTCAAGATTTCCCGCGAAAAAGTTTCTGTCCCAAGCCTCGCGCGGTTTGCTTCCTTGACTCCAAGCCTGCAAACGGGGTTCCCTCGGTTTAAAAAAGTGCGTCTTCAATAGAAACTGGTGACTAAGAGCGTTGTTTCCAAGCCAGCAAGGAACCTGGCTACTCAATATGTCGACGGACGAAGAATGATAAAAACGACTGTAAARGTGTCATCTCTGCTGCCTAACAAAAAAGCTTTACATTATTAAAGCCGAAAAAACTAGCCTCCTCATCAATAAAAGATCAAAATTAATTTCTAAATGCCGCCTCGAAGACAAGTACTACTTATGAATACCTAAAACAAATCCAGAAGGAGCCTGGCTACTCAATATGTCGGACGAAGAATGATAAAAACGATTGTAAATTTGACATAATTCTCGATCAAATCTGGACCTCTCATCGCAAAACCAGCCTCCACAGTGACTCAACAAATACTTCAAAAATTGCATATCACATTTAACCCGAAAAAAACACATACAGGATTCATTTAAGACCGTGGCCCTGTTCAGATGAAATACACGAATGGATAAACAACTGGAACTGAAATGAAATTGGAATAAAATATATTACAAAAGTAAAAAATGAAACGCCCGATAAGGGACTCGAACCCTTGACCCTCAGATTAAAAGTCTGATGCTCTACC